AAGACCAAATCACACATGCTATATTTCCAATTTTCTTCTTCCCCCTATTTATTACTTTTCCCAAGTATTATTAATTAATACTTGTATTCCCTATCTATTTTCTTCCTTTTTATTGAGCACAGATTTGAGTATGACACAAACACGAATATGTACGACACGATTCAAATCATGTCCAGAGCAGACCGAGTCTAACAACTTTGTAAAATGGACGGGCACAACATGACACAAAAATTAGCGGGTCGTGTCAAGCACGACCCAAGATAAACGAGCCCATTTATCCCAAAATATGCCCTACCGACCCAACGCCCAGGTACAATCGAGAACCCCCTGACCTGTGAGCATGCCTTAATGACATTATTACCCTTATCACAATCCCATATTATTATCCCTCCCTTATTTGAAATATGCTTTAATCTTCGTTTACTGGCACCGAGCTGTCCGTTTCGCCATCTCCTCCGTCGCCCAAAAGTAGGGCTGTTAACGAGTCGAGCCGAACCGAATTTTGCCTTGTTTAGGTTTGGTTCATTTATAAACTAGCCGAACTCAAACTCGACTTGTTTATGAACAAGCTGAGTCGAGCTGAACACGAGCCAACTCATTTATTGAATCTTGGCTCATCATTAAGATCAAAATTTTGTATGAGTCAACTCTAAGATAATTTATGAATTAAGGTTGAGCTAGTTCACGAGTCTCACGAGCCACCTAACTAAGCTAGTTCACGAGTCAAACAAGGTTGAGCTCAAGCTCGACTCGTTAATAAATGAATCGAGCTTTTATTGAATCGAATAACCTTTTATCGAATTCGATACCGAGCCATTCACGAATAGTTTGGCTCATTAACAACCCTACCCACAAGGCATGCATTCGGCATTTTCATTGCCTGACAAAACTAGAAACAAAGCCGATGGTGGTAGTGGCACTTCTCGCAATATTCTCCCACACCCAAGGCTAGGGATGGGAATCTAGGCCAAACCGTATGGGGAACCGCGGTCTAGACCGTATCGTATGGTTTGGTCAGGACCGTGAGACTTGAACTATGGTATGGTCTGGTTTGTGGTATCCTCCTTTAGCTTTTGGTTTGACGTGGCCCGGACCGCGATCTACCGTAGTAAACCGTAACAGACCATGATAAACTACCTACTAATTTAGACCAAAATAACACTATATTAAACCTCCATTTATGTATTTGAAGAACAAAATTAATTGATTCTTCATCCAGTTGAGAGCCAACAGATTGCACAAATGATCGCTTATACTTTATCTCATTCTCAAAGAACCACACAAAAATCAGAAAGATTCATAAATAATATTCACTGATAATGTCTAGACTATGGAGTCTATAAAATATAAATGGGTTAGTTGCAAGGATGGTCACTGTGTTTACAAAAAACGTTCATGTTTGGTCACTGCAAATATTTAATTCCATTCATGGTCACTAAGATTAGTTCAATAGTTCAAGTTTGGTCACTCTCCGTTAGTTTTTGCTAATGTGGCAGTCAACTATTATAGTTGACCGTTAAATGAGTGAGGTGGCCAATAAAAAAATATTAAAATATAAATATTTACAATTTTCACCTCATTTTACAACTATTAAAAAATAAAACTTAATAGATGGCCTCCGCTATCTACGCCACCGCAATTCTGATCCCTCCTCCTTCCGATTACTCACCTGCCAGATATTCTCCCTTCTATTCCCTCCCTCACAAACCCTAAGATTCCACAGGAAGAGGTGAACAAGACCTGCCCCGCTGCCGCTCACTTCCAGATGGCGACCGCTACCACTACCAGCCTCGGCGGCGGCGACGGAGACGATCGCGTCAGGACCACGGCGCAGCAGATCGTCAAGAGCCTCAACACGCCGGCCAACGTCATAGAAGACATGCTCCTCATCTTCTCCAGCTTCGACAACCGTCTCTCCAACATCACCGATTTGGTCAACAACGACGACCGCAAGGCCCGCTCCAAGCTCGACGCCGCCGAGCAAGTCATTATGCGCTGAGATTCCTCTCAAATCGCTCTTCCCTCCTAGTGCGACTGCCCCGAGGACGACGTTGACTACTTGACTGTCGTCGACCTGCTCGACGACCTCTCCTTTAAGGATGCCAGCATCGAGGCCCTGGACCAGGTCGAGACAGTCGTCCAGGTCGCTATGACAAGGCTGGAGGAAGAGTTTTGCCACATCCTCACCAGGAACACTGTCCCGCTCGATGCCGAGAGGCTGTACGGATTCATTCGTAGGGTCTCTATCTCGTTTGTGGATAACGAGGGGGAGATCATCGACGACGAATTCGAGAGTTTCGGGGAGGTAGATAGTGCTTGTGGGACTGGGAGCGACTATTTCCACGAGCGGGGGGGCTAGTTTGGGTTATGAGGTAGAAATTGTAAATATTTAATATTTTAATATTTTTTTAATGTCCACGTCACTAATTTAACTGTCAACTAAATAGTTGACTGCCACATCAGCAAAAACTAACGAAGACTAACGGAGAGTGACCAAACTTGAACTATTGAACTAATCTTAGTGACCATGAATGAAATTAAATATTTGAAGTGACCAAACATGAACGTTTTTAGTAAACCCAATGACCAACCTTGCAATTAACCCAAATATAAACACTATTTTTTTATTCTCCTTGATGAGATAAGGAAAATTATTGTGAGATAAGTGACCACCTTAGTGGTTCATAATGACCTCGACGTCATCACGATGGTGATCGACCGCGAGAACCTTCCAGATCACCCGAGAGAGGGAGAGAAGGGATAACACAAAGAGGAAGAGGGAAACAATGCTATTTGATATGTGTTTTTTAATGGATACTGGAGAGAGCCGTTGAGACTAGAAAGTGAGTTTGAAAATTGAAAAAACCCCACCTCTATCATATATTTCTTCACCTTTTAATTATGATCATTAAAATTTTGTTTTACTAGCATATTGGTCACTAGAATTTATATCTTTATTAATACCAACGAAGGGCAGAATAAGAGTGAATTTTTTTTAACATGGAAATACACGAAATACAATACAATACACGAAATTATTTGATCTATGAACAACATCGTTGTGGTAAAGGCCGTCCAGACTGGACCGCACTGCACAGACATGATCTGGTCTGGACCGTATAGTATATAGTCTGGTCTATGATCTGTATTCCAACATCTCGATTTGATCCAGACCACACCGTTTCCTACCCGATCCGGGGCCAAATCTTTAACCCCGCCGAGATTTCAGAAACTTCACTGATAGTTTCTCGCCGCCCCATGAACCAACCCGGACCCCGATGACTCTCTCCTCCTGAATTCTGATACACACATGCCAAAATCTCCCAATCCCTGCTTTGTCCATTTTGTCCTCCGTCCTCGCCTCACAACAAAACAAACCCCTCGGCCACTTCGCCATAATTGATAATCATCAGTGGCATTTTCGTCTGGAACCGGAAAAATTAATTAATTTCCCCCTCCCTTTTTTGTAATTGGTTTCTTCTGAAAATTCAAATTTCAGATCGTTACAAAATACAAACTGAGACGCTGTACGACGGTAGGGAAGGAGGAAGAAGGGAGAAGAAGAAGACCATCTGCGTATTTTAATGGTTTTATTTTTTGGAATGTAATGAACCAATAAATGATTTGATTCAATTTTGTTTTTCTTTCTGGTGGAGGGATTATTCATTTATTTATTTTTGGTGAAAGGATTATTCATTTATTAGCTTGCCTGTTTTGGATTTGGATTGTTGTTACAGTGGAGAGAGAGCGGGAACTACTGTTCTCCAGCTGAGCGGAACTCTCCCTATTTCTCAACCCAAGTAATTTCTTAGGGTTTTCAGCTCGCTGGACAAGAGAACGAGAGTGGTCAGTGATCTGGCGGCTTCTTATTGGTGTGTGGTTTGAGGAGTTTCAAGTGAGTGCAGTGGAGTGAGAGTGAGTGAGTCGAGCTGGGTAATGGAGGTGGAGTTGTTTTACTACGAGGCACGCGAAGTGGATCCTGACTACGAGTTCGATGCGCCGATGTTCTTCGATTTCAGCCGGGTGGAGACCTTCGCGGAGGCGCTATTGGCCGAGCGGTGGTTCGGCGCGGCTCCGAGTTACCCGCCGTCTCGTGAGTTTTGTGATTCTCAAGCTGCATTTTATTTGGCTGTGGAAAAAAAAAATGCACCCCTTTCCCCTCCCTGTTTGACTCAGTTGAAAATTTTGACTTGTTCTCGCCTTTGGAGCTGTTAATCCCTTTTTCTTCTTTTGTGCAAAGCATTGCGCTCTCCTATCTTTGAGTTAGGTTCTGATTCGTCCGTGATTCTGCCCTTTTTTACTGCCTTACTGAGTTTTTTTCCCCCCGGGATTCTTTCTTCCATCTCTGTTTCAGCATTTGTGGCAAAGTTCGTGCTGGGAGAGGAAATCATGTTGCAGAACATTAATACATCCCCGAAACCTAAAGGTGATGGATATGTGACCACCTTGCTCAATGATGAAGACGGTGGTGTTCTGGGCCCGGAAAGTGCAGCGGTGGGGGATGACCATAAAGGTAAACTAACCTAATAATGGTTCTTTGATTGTTTATTCAGTGGCCCCCCTTAGCCTTGGACCGGGATTTGGGACAGTAGGAATTAGTTCATCTGGATAGGTTAGTCCAGCCACCTTTTGTTGTTTGATGGACTAAGTAGAAAATGTCGGTTGCAGCTTTCTTTAGGCATGGATTTCTAAGTCTTGTAATGGACATATCCGAGGTTTCTCTGTGCAGAGACATGGAAGACTGGTGTTCCTTTATAAGGAAATGCAGGGTGGGGATCAATATGAACCAGTCTAGTTTGGTGCTTTAACATGCCTAGAAATGAGACCTGAGTTTTCTAGTGGGTACAGAACTTGAGCTTCAGATGTTTCTGTGCTTAATACGGAACCTGGGCTTGAATCATTTGCTAAGTATCAGTTTGAATCAAGTATAAAGTTTCACTCTCAGCATTGATCATTCGAAAAATTCCTAATCCAAAGCCATAACTAGCAACAATCAGTGTCCTATTTCAACTGGGTGTTCATGTTGGATACTTCAAATGACCATCACTTTTTCATTGTACCCGTGGTCAGGGCAGGGCATATTGCTCTCTTTCCCTTTTCATGAAGAACTGAACTTGGAAAGATGGGTACCCTTACCTATGGGGTCGCATTCTGGCCCAAGTAAAATCACTATTGGGAGAGTGGCTTTTTTGCAGCTTTCATGATTTGACATGATTATGTTCTCAACTCTGATAATCTTTGGTATGGTCACAGCAGGATTCATATTTTACAATCATCAGTCGAGTGATAAATTCAATGCCAAGGCTAACCTGTTGAAGCCTAAATCTCGAGGTTGCTCAACCTTGATGAGACCCACAGCTAGCCTGTTGGCTAAGCAAACACGAGTGCCTCATTTTGGTAGTTCCAGGTGATCTTTATTATCCCATTTGTTTAGTTCTGAAACTGATAAAGCTGTATTTGCTCTACTATTGGTTGATAACAATTGCAATGAGCTCTATTGTCTGAGTTAAGATTTATATTGGACTGCATTGCTCATTGCTGAATTAGATACTAGGCTCCACATCGTGAATGTTTGTGGTCTTGAAAAGTGTTTTGTGAACCTCTTGAGTCACATCTTCAAGAGATTTAGAATGTATCAATCTGAATGATTGGTGCCACCTCAGTTAATCTTATCTGTCTTTCCACCCCTGCCTAGCTCAGTTATCAAATTGTCTAACTACATTTAGAATTTACCTTATTTCGGAAAATTTGAGCCCCGTTATAATCAGATGGTCTATATTGCCTGCATTACATGTTTATGACGGGGCATCTCTATTGTAAGGTATCATGGAAAATTCTTGTTGCAACTAATTATCTCCTGAATAGGTCTCAAATGGTTCTGGATCAGAAAGAAAAAAGCGTACATAACTCATCCATGGTTGAAAATCAGGCTGCCAAACGGCAGAAGCTAGAGGGAGGTCATCTGCAAAAGGTACTTGATTCCCGAAGCAATATTTTTGTTCATTGCTCTCCATCTACAGTTTTGGCATGGTAACAATAAATGTTCCATTTCCTTGCACCTGCATTGTTCAACTTGAGCGGTAAGTTTTTGACCTTTGTAGGGGTGTAACTTTTCATGGTCACTTAATTGCTTTCTTTGGTGTGGCAGGTTGGTGATGCAAACCCACAGACTGATTTCCTCCACAAAGCACCTGCTAAGGTATATAGTTTAAATTTTCTTTTATCTGTATTCTATCTATTTGCCTCAAAACCTTACAGTCTTGTCCGGAAAATGAGCACTTTGACAGTGACTTGTACTTTGCGCAAATTGACAACTTCTTGACAACCATTTTAGCTCTTATTATTACTTCGGTATGGATATTTTTCCTCTGTTGGTTTAGGAATAATGAGAATATAATCCTTGGATTATTTGTGGAGTGAGCATCAATTCGAGTTTAGTCTTTTTGTTTGTCCTTATGAGGAACTAAGCAGCATTCTTGATTTCATTGAGTAATAGTTTACCATCAGATGTTGCCTAACAATAGCTTTTTCCTTGTGCAGTTGAGGTTAACCATTCCAAGAGAGCCAGGCTTTGAGACAGCACATAGAGCACACAGAACTAGGTTTTTCCTTTTAATATCCAGTTCAAGGTGTTACCATGTTTTGATTACATGGTCCAGCAAATTAATTGCTTTTTCTGACGCAGGCCTATGATTACATCAGAACTTGAGCATACAACAGTCGCTGTTCGAAGATTCAAAGCACGCCCGTTGAACCGAAAAGTTGGTTCCTAAACTTTCAGACTATGTTATTTAGGGAGCCGTATGTATTTTATTTTGACAATTATAAATTTCTAATTTCTGATTCTTGAGGCCCCTTCATTACCTATCCCAAAGAAAAGCACTCCAAGGTTGCCTGAGTTTCAAGTGAGTTCTGTACTTATCATCCTATCTTTCCTTTTTATGCTTTTTTGTTCATGTGTTTTCCCGAGTATAATCCGTACTCGTTCCCTTGCAGGAATTTCACCTGAGGACATCAGAAAGGGCCAAGCAGCATACTTCTGCAGTTTCATCTTCCTCACTTCAGTGCAGCAGTTCTAATCAGGTAACCACTTTTAAGTTGTTAATATGATTGAATTTGAAACAGTCTAATAGTAATGTTTGTTTTGAGTTGCAGGCTGTAGTATAGTTACTCCATTATTTCACATGACAGATTGAGCTTTTTTTGACAGGGCATGGACAAGCAGGCTACTATCTCTGTTGCAGAAATGGGAAGGAGAGAATCCAGAAGGTAACAATATATCCGAAGAAGGGGAAAATTCTGGGGTTATTTTACAATGTTTTGAACAATCGAGCTGTAGGAGGGCTTTCTTAAAAGCTGTTTATCTTTCCTCAGACCCAGTACCCTCAATGTTACAGAGCAGGATGGACAAAGTACATCACACGTATTCAAAGCTCACCCACTCAATAAAAAGGTACCAAGGAAGTGGTTGAGAGCACATCCTCAAAAAGCTTGTTGCTGAAAATTCATATGAACTCCCTTTCATGTTTGAATGCAGATATTATCAAGCAAAGGAGACATAGGTGTTTTTCGAAACAGCAAGCGGCAAACCACAGTGCCCGTGGTTAGTACTAGTACATTCATGTTCATAAATGCTGGATCATTAGTTTTCGGTTCTTCACTTTCCACTGATGGTGTTTTGTCCGCAACCTTGCGCAGGAATTTAATCTCCATACAGACAAGAGACATCATCATAATCCTCCCATAGACCTATTCAGCAAGGTATCCCTTTGCAAAGATTTTAAGCAGCCTTCTGAAATTCATGTTGGAGTATATAGCAGCAAAAAATCTGAAGAATCGTTCTTACTTTTTGGATGATTGGAAATTGCAGCTGTCATTAAAATCCGAAATCCAGCTAAGCTTAGAACCTCCGTCCCAGTTTACTCGACCAAACCCTGCAGTTAAAGTGGTTTCTCTATTTAAGGTTTGTACATTTTTTCACCTTAGGCCTACACTACTTTTATCCATGTTATTCCCTTTTGACTGACCTAGTCTTATGATTGTTCATCTATTGCTAGGGCTCAAAAGAGAATCAGTTGAATCCTCTCCAGACAGACCGCAAGGTAAATTTGTATGATCATGATTATTCAAGCTTTTTTTTTTTTTTTTTTATGAAGATCATGATATTCAAGCTTAACTAACTTAAAATATATAACCGGCATCTTCCTCATCTATGCCAATCAAACTAAATCTTTTGTCCATCTACAGATGCTGCACGGACCGAAAGGAAGGCCATCCGGCTTTAGTGGAAAGCAGATTCACCCAGGAAGCAATGGATGCAACAGTGAGGTCGGCAACCAGTATGGCGTGAGGTATGCAGCCAGGAAAAATGTTAACTACGGATATTCCATGTTTTTGCACCAGACAGTCTTCTGCATTTCATGTCTTACACTTAAACTTCTGAAATTGTTCTAGGAACTTGGGCATCCGGTGAGAGTGGCTGAAGCCTGACGAAAAGAATACCTTGAAACGCAAGCTTCACAATACATGGCTCAAGACTTTTTTGTCCCCCTCACCGCTTTCTGCAAAAATGCACAACCATCATCGAGTCAGCTGAAGCAATCAATTTCTTCCTGAAGAAGAAAGCTCCACATCTCACACCAGCATTGTACATCTTACCCTTTCCGTGAAAAGAAGAATAACTGGTTAAAAGGCCGATGTTGTACAGCCATTTGAGGCCTTTCTCACCCTTTAGTATCATAGAATATTTTGACCTTTACTTGTAGCAACCAAGAAAAAAACCCTCATTTGTAGCTCGCTTTTTAAATGTCATCAGGGTCAATGATCTTTTGTTTCCAATGCAGCTTCACCAGCTTAAGTAATAGAAAGGAAGTATATTTCCATTGCTTACCAAAAAAGAACAAAAAAGTATCACATTGCTAAGTTGCTATGGTACTATAAGCTGCAGCTGAAGCCTACAATTTTTGTAAGTGGACGATTCCTTCTCATCCCCAGACTCTTCAGCGGCTTCTTGGTGTTCACAAGTCTCTTCTTTGTGATGGGCAATAGCAAGATCATTGGGGAACAGAGTCCTCCACACAAAGCCATGGAGCAAAGTGGAGAAGAAGAGCATCAATACCATCATTGTCGACATGAAGGACAAAATCAACATAAGGACCTTGCTTGGGATGGAAGGTACGTTCTCTGCATACTTTATGGTGGCCACAGATGCCGTTATCATTGGGAATGTGTAAGACCACCACGCAACTGGGAACCTGTCAGTGAAATCGAACCAAAATCGTCATTATCTGGTTCCTATACAGAGATGATGCAGTTGAGCACTTGTGTATGTGACGTATTATTACCTGAATCCAGTGAAGAACTTGACCTCTTAACGACTAGGGGGACAGAGAAACAGAGCAATGAAGTAGCAGGTCCTCGACGACCCATCAAACTCACCGTAGATCGTCTCCCAAGCAATGCTGGAAGCCAATGGTGCGGCGATGAACATCGAGTAGACAGGAGCTGCTTATTATACAAAGTAACAAACACCACAAGGTAATGTGTAAACCCGACTGCCCACAAGAGAAGTTACAGTCTGATTCGCAAAATGAAGAACGAGGTCTGGGAGTGAGTTGAGGATGCGAAATGAACTGGAGACTATGGTTTGGCGGTTCATCGCTAACTTCTACAGAGACGAACCAACATTAGCATAATGATAAGAACAATGCATGGCATTATTCAAGTCAAACGCATCACACCATTAATTTGATTACCCGGTACAGTTGGGAACCAAACTTTGTCTACTGCGAAGAGACGTTTCTTCATGAAGCAATGCTTCCATCCGTTGCCATTAACAAAATTACCACCATTTCATTCATGAAACGTTACATGGCATCACTAAAATTCCATGAAAGATGGCCAATCCAGGCATGGCAAGTGAAGGCAACCGATGGAAACATTTTACGATTACTTAAGAATTGTTATTATTTAATGATTATTTGTCGTATTATTATTTGGTTTATTATTGGGGAGGGAGTATTATGATTAGGTTATTATTTTGAGTAGCAAAAGGGATAATTGTAAAGAGCTCTTTGACTAAGACAACTATGAGCTCTTTTAGAGTTGTCAAACGACATATCCAAACACTTGGTTTAATTTATCTTTATCCTTCAAATTTAAAGTGAGTACTAATACTCATAAAAGAAAAGGAGGGAAGATACGAGATAAGCTTGTGCTCGCTCACTTGATCACAAAATTATCAGTAAAGGAATAAGTAGAGAGCTAAGAATATTATGATTTCTTTGTACTCTTAAGGATATGGTGAGGAGTATTTCTACTTAATATATTCCATTTGGAGTAAAACCATAAATATTACAACGTACATCCTTAGCTAGAGTATCCAGAAAAAGCAGTTAATGTATCCACATATGAGCAATAAGGGACTTGCACATTTAGGGTTGTCTAGGTTTGGAAAAACCTTATAAGGTACAAGAAGGTATAATGGACAAAAGGATACAATTAACTTATATTTTGTTGGTTACTCGTAAGTACTCTCAATGCTACTAGATTTATAATCCTACATCAAGAAACAATTGTGAAATGAGAAATGTGCAATTTGCTTGAGTATGTTGAGTTTTGGGGGTGAAGGAAACATTGAGAATGTTGTTACTGTACAAACTCAACACACTCAAGAAGAGCCATTAAGTATATCCACCAAGGAGAAGCTGGACGATTCTAGTTAACAACATCATTTTTCTTCAAAGAACATAAGATTGCATCAGGCTGACTACTGATCCAGTTTATTTTAGTCAAGTCATGTACAGTTCTAATTATGAAAAGTGGATTGATGTAATGTGATGAAGTCTATGACAGACAATGTTTGGAATCTCGTCAAATTGCCTGAAAGCTCGAAACCTATTGGTTGAAAATGGATATTTAAAACCAAAAAGGATTCGAATGGCAACATTGAGATATGTAAGACATATTTTCCCTAAATGCTTCACATAAGGAAAGCATTGACTACAAAAGACTTTCTCTCTGTATTTTGAAAAGCTCTTTAAGGAATATAATGGCAAAGGTGACTCATTATTGTTTGGATCCACGTCGGATGGATATAAAGACTGTGTTTCTCAATGGTCACACTGACGAAACGATTTGTGATTTCTAAATTGAATGAATCCGTCTGTGATCTCTTATAGAATTCTAAAATTGGTATCACAAATTTCATCATGTTATTAGCTCATTCGAATTTAGAGACTAATGTTGCAAATAATTGTGTATATCTTACGGTCAGAGGAAGCAAATTCATTTTCCTGTTTTATACAACATGTTGTTCTGCTTAAGGTGTAAGTATAATAAGTTCGTAAACCAGGAGATGTGTTGTAGCTAAATGAGTCAGTTTTGCTCTCAATCAGTACCCTGGTTATGGTATTAAAAGAATAGAGGTGAAGAAGATCCTTGATGCATATTGACATTAATGAATCTACTATATACTTTAGTTGATTTTCATCCCAATATGAGTATTTGGCATATATTTGATTAATCTATGCATGAAACACTAGAGAGAATAAAACGTGTAACGATTTACTAAAGACAATACAAGAATACATGTCAACTTATCAAAGATCAGATAATTTAGAGATCATCAAGTACTCTGACTTTGATGTTGCAGGATGTCAAGATAATATGAACTCTATATCAGTTTACCCTTGAGTGCTGGTAGAGTTCAAAGCATATATATCTTGAGAATTTCAATTATGGTTGTAAAGTTTTTGTCACTAGAATGACATTGGTAAGTCATTAAAGGTTAGCAGTAACAATGTTTTGATAGTGATACACTATCAGTACCACATGAGTTCAGAAGTCAAAGTTATTGACATAAAGTTTCTGGTGGTTAAAGATAAAGTTCAAAATAGACAAGTTTCTATTGAACGTTAAGAAAATGACTAATGCTAGCTTATCCAGTGGCCAAAGTTTTAACACCTAAAGTTTTCCATGAGCATATTGTTCGCATGAGTTTTATTTCAGATGATACAATGGTTTAGTGGGAGTCATTTGAGTTTGTCCAATAGTTATGACTAAATCAATTTCTGCAGAATAAAGTGATGGTTTTCTACAGTCTATTTTGGAATTTTAAGTGCCTTCAGTTATATAGTGGTCACATTGTATGAAGGAATTTCAGTTGATCTCACTAAGGAGTAAAGTAAGACCAGTTGAAAATAAGCATGTTCAAGATTACATCGCATGTAATTTTCATGCCACTCAACCATATTTGATCTATCGTGATTAAAGCCGCGTTGGTTCCATAATTGATACATGAGGCGGGCCAGATTATTTCAGGGGATCTCTTAGTACAAATAGCATAAAATTGCGCGCTTAAAGAATTTTGTCATATGATTGTTTGAAGAAAAAAATATGCAGCCCAAGTGGGAGATTGTTAGGATTTTTTTCCTAATTATAATTGTGGGCCGCATATTTTATATACACAATTATATGTTAGCTATTTGTGTTATTGGGTAATTATAAGTGATCCAAATAAGGAGCCCAAGACTAATACACCCCAACATGGACCCAATGAGTGGAAACCCAATACTTGCTTACTAAGGTTTTATGGGAGCCTTGGTAAACAAGTATATAAGGAGACTTAGGGTGTGATCCCCAATACACCTAGACCAAACAATCTCATCTTCTCCCCATCAGGATGATGAGAGCTCTCCTGTGGAGGAACCGAGGCGGTTTGGTTGAGGAAGACTGCATAACCTCCTGGGTCGTGCACTAAGAGGCATCGTCCAGAGATTGATCGTCATCGTTTTCGCATCCAGCTTCAGACGATCAACATGAATCAAGGTATCTCCAACCAACCATTGATAATCTAACAAGATGAGATTCTAGGGAAATTTCATATGATAATGTTCAATATTCTTTCAAGTAAATATTTTTGTAAGCAGAGGACTACGACTAAGCTTATTACGAATATTAATTACCCTAATCCTCTCCATTCTTCCTCTAGCTGCCGAAATCTCTCTATCTCTCTCTACTCCTCTTCTTCAAATCACCAATCCTAGATTAATCCCTAATTGATCTAACCCTATATTCCCAATTCCTCAACGTCAATCGCACTCTAAATTTCGAGGTCTATCAGCAACGTGGAGCACATTTGTCCATTGGGCAAACGTTGCATGGAATAGTTGGCTTTCAAATTTAAATTGACCCAATTCTAAAACATTTTGCATCCCACCAAATTCCAAACATGGTCTTGGTTGGTCCGACCGATCTAACCAATATACTTGGTTCAACCAAATTTTCAACAAATGGGGTCATACAAGGCTCCTGGTAAGGATGACTACCAACCCTTGTTCTTTCAGTGGTGTTGTGATACGAATAGACAGTTATTTCTCACCGTTTGTTTTAAGTGTTTCAGGAACCCGTAGATCATTAAGACGTAATTCTAAAGCGTCCAAACCAGAGCTTAATAACTGACCTCCGACCAAGGTTGTCAAACCGGCTTATACCATCGTGTCGGTTTAGCAAGTGGAATGGTTCTACATGTGGTACAAGCAGTTTGTGCCGGTTCATCCTAGTTCAACAAATTATGTGAAAATGTGAACCCATTAATATCAACATTTAAATACAACATTTAACGTCAATAAGAAAATGTTTATACGTGAATCCAACAAATAACATCAATATTTAACTTTTAATTCATAAAATAAATTATAAATGATTTTTTAATTAATCAAATTCATTAAAATGATGTCATTTCACTTAAAATTCTTAAATCGACCATGCCAGTCATACTAGTGCCATGACCGACATCGGTTGAACCAGTTTCAACCGGCCGACATGCCACCGACATGACAACCATGCCTCCGACCCATCGACCTTTGCATGTTTCATA